ATGGTTCCCTGCCTCCCGGCGGAGCCACATCGTGGTGGCTGCTGCTGAGCCTTGGTGGCTGCAGGGCCACAGGGTTTCGGCGGCTTGCAGGGCTCCATCCCTTCCTCGTCCCAGCCCTGCTGTGAATAGGGGCACCCGTGGGGCCCTGCGGACACCCGGGGGTCTCACACCCGTCAGGGCCGTGGCCGAGGGCACAGCCAGGAAGGATGTGACCCAGGGCTCTGTGTCCGTGGTGGGGCAGGAGGCGACTTCAGTGCCAGAGGCTGCCTAGCAAGAGGGTGCTGCAGAGCGGGGCCCCCCCCAGCATCCCACATTCCCCCACCCTGCTCCAGGGACCCCCAGCTGGGTCTGGGCGACCCCCAGTCTGGGCGACTGCCCCAGTGGCCTTGGGAGCACCCAGGCAGCACAGGGCCGTTCCCAAGCTCACCGCCTGGTGTCATAGAATCATGGAATCACAGAATCTTTGGGTTGAAAGGGGCCTTTCAAGGTCGTCTAGTCCAACTCCCTGCAGGGCGCAGGGACATCTGCAACTCGAGCAGGGTGCTCAGAGCCCCGTCCAACCTGACCTGGGATGTGTCCAGGGATGGGGCATCCACCACCTCTCTGTCCTGGTTCTGCCTGATATCACAGAGCACCTGGTGGCACTGGTGGCATCCCCGGGCTCAGTGCAAGCATTAGTTGGGACGGGGTCCAGTGGGGTCTCTAAGGCACAGGGTGGCACAGGATGGGGACAACACCCAGGGCCTGAGGACAACTGTGTCTCCATCCCTCCAGCTGCTGCTTGCTGGGCCCTGCGCCATGCCTGTAGCCCTGGGCAGGATCAGCCCCTGTGCCGGCTGGAGGCCGGGCTCGGCGGCGAGAGCGGGGCAGGTTCCCAGGCTGGATCACACTGGGGGGGGGGTGGCTGCCCTGAACCCTGGGCTGGCACCGCACCCCTGTGGCACCACGAGCTCTGCAGCATCTCCGAGTAGGTGCCTGAACCACGGGCTGCTTCAGGGCAAGCACAGAGGGCTCAGCCAAAACCCCTGTGCCCCAGACTCCCTCCCCAGCCAGCCTGGGGTCTCCTTCTCCTCCGTGTTGCAGCCAGACTCTGCCTTGGGCACCCCTTTGCCTTCCCCTCAGCCAGCCCTGCAGCTGAAATGCTCCTTCTGGGGTCAAGCCAAGCTGAGCCCAACCCAACCCAAACCCAGAGCCCTCTTGGGTGCTGTTAACACCAGCCCGAGCCCCCGCTCGGTGCAGCTGGGGGCACTGGGTGCTGCCCCAGGTGCCTGGACCCACTGCACGGGCTGGGGGCACCCCATGGCCCAGGGGGTGTGTGGGGTGTCGGAGAGCCAGGCAAACAGGTTTTCTAGCACCTTCTGTGGTCCAAAAATACTGCTTTGAAGGGTGGCTGCTGGGTAGTCACTGAGTGGCTACTGGCAGACCTGTGCGATGTGGTGCCGAGTGGGTGCAGGGGGCACAGACAGGACCCTGCTGCCAGGTTTAGCACCTTCGCCTCAGCCTCGTCCCCACTGGGACGGTCTGGCAGCAGTCCCAGCCCAGCTCGCTTCCTCCACAGCTTCTGCAGCAGACTGGAGGGCTCACAGGGCCCTGGGGGGCAGGACGGGGGGCTGCTGGCATTCACCCCACTTGCAATGAAGTGAGGTAGCTGCCAGGAGTACCACAGTCTGCAGCAGGCTCTGGCCCACTCTGTGTCCCCAGTGTGTTACCCACCCCCAGGAGGGCACCAGTACCAGAGCAGAGACCCCCATGGGGGGCCCACAGCCCTGCTTGCACTGGGTCCCCCACCCCAGCTCCCTGAGTCATGCTGGGGCTCCAGGGGCTGCCCACGGGGCAGGAAGCCTGGACACAGGTCACCGGCATGGACACTGACACTGCTAGTAATTTGAGGTTTTAAAATTGTATTTATTGTTCTTTTTGTGCTGTGAATCGCTGCCGCTCTGGTGCATCCGAGCCCCCGCTCTGGGGCTCAGCCCCAGCTCCCACCCCAGCATCAGCAACCGCTGCCGGCCCGCAGCCAGCCCCCGCTCCCACGCTGCAGGGGACAGGCCAGCCAGGGACCAGGGACACACAGCCACCAGCATCCTGGGCACGAGGACTCTGTTGCTTTTTGGTGCAATTGAGGGGAACAGAGCCACCACGCTCTGGCTGGGGCAGGGACCAGGCAGCAGCACTGTTACAGCCAAGCTCTGCTACCGGGACATTTCTGTTTTTCCCTTCAGGACAAACCACGGATGACACACAGCCCCAGGCAGCAGGACACGGTCTAAACCCTGCCTGCTCTTCTGGAACCCTGAGCTACACAGATAACCAAGCGTGGTGCAGTTACACAGCCCAGAAAGCACAGAAAAGAGAGAGGGATAACGGGTATCATGACCCTCCCCAGGCTGCTGCCTGCACATCCATTGCTTTGTGGCATGGGGACGGTGGAGGGGGACGCGGGGAGCTCAGCACCATCGCCGGGGCTGAGCCAGGCTGCAGCTGGGTCCAGCACAGCTGGTGCTACATAGAGTTGGCCAGTGGTGCAAAGTGAGTGCACGGGGAGGAAGGAGGAAGGGCACTGTGATGCCGGGGCGTTTGCTTTTCATTGTCCTGTGCCACAGCAGCGCCAGAAATAAGGGGCTGCGAGAAGCAGGGGGCTGCCAGGTTGCTCGCGTGGTCTCCACGCAATGGCTCCTGCTTGCTGGCAGCGAGTGGAGCTGCCCTGGCCCCAAGGAGAGGGCTCCTGTATGCAGTGGGACCGCATCTGTCCAGGGGGTGAGGGGACTCTCCGAGCGGGCACGGGCCATAGAGGAGAGCATGGCACAGCCTTCAGTTCAAGCAGCCACTCCCAAAATCCGCTTGGCACGATGAGCACCTAACACTTCACAGACTTGCCAGGCAGAGAAAGTCCCATTTCTCTGCGTTCAGTGTATGGAGGGGCCGCCGGCTCCCGCGAGGCGACCCGCCGAGGTAAGGACGAGAGGTTTGCCGTGGAAAGCATGTCCCTGCAGTTCCAGTGGGGTGACAGACAACAGGGCTTCAGGGCAGTCGAGGGATTCTTAAATTACACACAGGCACACTCATACACGCAGACACACACAAGCTCTTCTGTAAACTGGACTCCAGAAGATCCCACAGATACTTGGCTGATCCTATGGCCAGTGCTGGATGCGACATCCTTACATGTTCCCGCGGTATGTGATGTTGGTGAAGGTAGACGTAGCCTCTTTATATAAAGGGTTGTGGCCCTGGAAGAAGGAAAAGGAAAAAGACCATCATCACTTTGTGCTTGGCATCGGCATTTGTTCTACTTTACAGTTGGGGGAACTGAGGCACCATTTCAGCATTGAGTGTTGGATCCACGTCTTCGCTCAAGGCTTCAGCTGTGCAGTTTAACGGCTCCCCATAAGGTTTCATGGGGGAGAGCAGGGAAAAGCTGCTGTGGAGGAGAGGAAAGGCAGCAGAAGCTCAGGAGCAGAGAGTCCTCCTGAAAGGGCCACCCCCATCCCACCCCATCCCTTCTGTCTAAGGAGGTGGGAGCTGGAGGAGAGGTAGGGGACAGGCACCCACCCTGTCCCAGCCCCCTCCCTTGTGCTCTGGGTGCTTCAGCCCTTCCAGCATCCCGTGGCAGGAGGGACCTTCCGCCTCGCTCACGGGATGGAAACACTGGTGTGAGCAGTGAGTAAGAGGGTCATGCTGGTGGCAAGTGCTTGGGATATGCTGGAGATGGGAAAAGCATCTGGGACATCTGCTATTGTCTGTGTGCACAGCCCCCGGGACCACCACAGGCTCGGGGAAGGGGAGTCCAGGCTGGCAGTGTCACCTTGAGTCCTGCCTGTGACACTGTGCCATGTCACCCCAGAGGCTGTGGGATTCAGGGACTCCTGCCCGGCACGCCCAACCTGCCAGACCTCACCGTGTCCCACTTGGCCCTAGCCTTCTCCTCCTCGAAGCGAGCAAACTCCCGTCGGTCATGGATGGTGATGAGGAGCTTCCAGATGAGCAGGGCGGCGAGGCCGATGAGCAGGATGGCGCCCGTCACTGAGAGCAGGACCACTAGGATGTCCGGCCCCTTCGGGCAGTCTGGCAGAGAGAAGAGGGCAGGGTTAGGGGGGCTCAGCACCCCCAGGGCAGTTAAAAACAGCTCTGGGGCTGCCTGGCCTGGGTACATGGAGCTCCTCTGGTCTCAGGAGGCCTTAATCCTCCCCTGGTAGGGAGCAGGGGCCTCCATGCTTGAGCACAGCAGGCTCTATAAAGGAGGATCCCATCCATGGGGTGCACGTGCCGAGATCCTCAAGCTCCTGTCTATAGGGTGGGAGTCTGCACCCAAGCCTGGAGCCATCCAGGCCAGGGGCATCACAGGTCCCACCCATGATGGGGGATGACACTGGAGACCAAATCCTTGGGCTGGTGGAAGTTCATCCCCAAACCCCCAGCCCAGCTGACATCCCGCACCGTCTCTGCTCTACGGCTATGCATCAACACTGAGCCGGCAAACCGGGGTGGCGAGATCTGGTGTGCACCCCAGCACCCACCCTGCTCCCCCCGCATGCTGCCCGGGGCTGTGCAGCCACCCCAGC